CAGTGCTCTCACCACCGCCAAGTTCCTGTCCGTGTCATTTCCGGTTCCGCTCATGTCACTTCCAGTTGCCGCACAGTCCCGCACTGACGCGTTTCGTCATATCCGAATTACTCATAGGGATCAAGATTCAGTCTTAACATATTTACAATAAAGTGTACCTGTGTCTAGACTGTGGTGATTAAACTATTTACATATACCAGTAAAAGAGCTTTAAAACAAGCCATACCTAACCTCTCTCACTGCTTTTAGGACTTGTTCATAACATGTGCGTGTGCATGTGACGCAGGTTACTGCAAGGGTAGACAGAAAATATATATTTTCAATTTGCCCTGTTCACACCATAACACTGCCTTAGGAACAAGAGATACCAAAAACTGGATAGGTAAGGTGGAATATACAGTATGTATAGAGTGGAGGAACTCTATCACATAGAAGAAGATAAAATGGAGAGGTTCAGAGAAAGGTGGAAAAAAACGGATGTGTTTAAGAGATCAAATAAATGTCGAAATGGGAGACATAGAGAAAGAGGAGATGAGAGGACTGGTATAAGTAAAAGAAGAAAGTAAATATAGGAAGGAGGAGAAGGGAATTCTGAGGACACTCAGAAACGTGGAGGAATGAGCAGCTAAGGGAAAAGAAACAGGGGTGGGGGGCGGAGGGGAGAGATGGGAGGGAGGTGGGCTCTTTTGGGGAAATGTTTAATAGGGAAATGTATTTTTCTATATATTGTTATGACAATCTTTGTTGTGGTTTGAAGTTTTTGTTGAAATTTTAAAATTAATAAAATATTAAGAAAAAAAATCATTGCCTTGAGGTGGATAGCAGCGTGTTGTGTAAAAATGAAAATATGCTGCATTTTTATACAACTAAAATCACCACTGAGTGCCACACCACAGCTCCATTGCAGTACAAAGAAATAAAATGTTATTTTAACATTTCAAGATACTAAAAAAAAGTAGTGCCTTGCATTATAAAATGCATGGTATTACTCATACACATTTGACACCATCCCACATGCCTAAACAGATCATCATGGTGTGAACAAGCACTTATTTAAAGTTATTCTTTCTCAAAGATCCTCAGAGAACACAACAGACACTAGTGTCAGCTTTCAGTCTGTTTTCAACAGCTTAAAAACACCTGCTGGTTGTTTATATTAGAGTGCTGGCTGGCAAGTTCTGGTCTTCATACAAAGATGCAGTGCATACTTGACAACTGTCCAGGGTTTGCTGTCTGTTCAGTTGTCCCTCCATGACTGTGGCCCAAGCTGTGTCCTAAAGCTGGGTACACATGGGCCGAAAACTGTCTGCAAACGGTCAGTTTGGTAGGAACCGGCCGACTTTCATCCCGTGTGTACAGCTCTCTGTCCTACAGAAGCCAATCTCATGAGTCATGACTGGCTTCTGTTGAACAGGCATGCTGGAAACCTAGCATCTGAATCAGTGCTAGCAGCCAATGGCCAATGGCCAATGGCTGCTAGCGCTGATCAGTGTGTTCTAGCCAGGGGGAGTCCCCCTGTCTGAACGCAATAGCACAATGGGGGAGATTGCTACAATTACATTGCTTGTGTTAGTATGAAGATGTCAGTTTTTTTTCATTCAGTCCGTTGGGTTCAACGAAAAAAAACTGAATGCATGTACCCAGCTTTAGAATTAGGTGTGGGATTTGCACGTGAATAAGTCATGGAATAGTCATATGGCTCATTCTAATACAAATCCCAATGATCATTCATGTGCTTGTGTGAGGGTTGGCACAGTACTGCTTTAAGAAGAAATGCTGGATCCTGGTCTGGCTCAAGAAATTATGCAGTGAAAGCTGGCAAGAGGGAGAGAGGTGAGATGTTCTTCAAATACACTGTGCACCCATTCTATCAATTCATTCATATGTTTGCTCCAGGTTCTAAAGCCACCCTTTCATTTGCCACCTCTACTGGCCTAACTGATTCCACCCTCCCCCTCCACAGATGCATTCTTACAGTGATATATTGCCTGCAGCCTCCTGTGTTTGTTGACATCCAGCACTATAAGTCCTCTCTTTCCTGGCCACACCTGTAAAGTAGAGCCCGATAGAAGTCACAATATTACTGATCCCCACTATGCTCCTGGCTGCTGCACTGTACACACTAAATTGTACAATATACTCCTGACCCCTGCACTGTATAAGTTATGTTGTACATATTACTACTGAGCTGAGCTCCCTAATGGGGGATCAGACAACCTGGAGTGAAAACTGGTGTCAGCAGAGGAGCCCAAATATGAAGGTGAAGCTGAGAAATAGATACTTCATTGATTCAATATTTAATGCTCACAGAATAATATAAATACCGTCAACGTGTTTCATGGCACTGTTCTTCAAAACAGCACGAGAGACAGATCACACCTGTTTAAAGTGTTTTATGCACCGTCCCAAGGAAGTGACAAAGAACATAGATGAAAAAGGAGAACAAAGGGGGTTATAAGCCCCAAGAGTCAGGCTATCACTTATGTCATCATTTTGAATACAGAGAAGCATGCAAGTATTAGTAGACATTCCAATAATATTGTCATCAGTATCTATCTTTAGCTGTATAGTGAGCCCCATACCATATTGCCCTTAGTTGCCATACAGTAGAAATATGGGAGTAAGTCCCATTGGTGGAAGAAAACATGACTTTGTATGTGTAATGGCTAGTCCTTATCGCAGATACATCAAATGGATGAGAAGATTTCCAAAATTGAACTAGCAATACCTGGGCACTAGGAGGAAGGATGTCACCACTTTACCAATGCCCAAATTCAAAACAGCTAAGCCAGGAAAGGGAGACATAGGAAAAGCTACTACTTTTGATATGAGGCAAAAAAATATTAGAGCATAATTCCACCAAATGTTTTCATGACCAAAACAGATGGTACATGTTATCAATCTGTCCACAGCCTCTCCAACAGAGGGGAGAAGTCCTATGAATTTAATTCAACACAGTGGTGTGTGCGGAAAAAAGTTGGACATGCGCTGCACTTTTTCTGTGCTATTGCAATGTGAATAAAGATTTAATAAAGTTGAAAAAGAAAGAAAAAAGTAAACAGTGCTATGTTTTATTTGTAGCCAGGTGCTGCTATATCATTATGCCATTCAGGGACATTTACAAATGAGACTATGATTAATCCTTTTCCCCCTAGTGCCCAGTACTAGGACTGCTATATCACATCCTGCTAGCAGAATGGATCCAGTTCCTCTGACAGCAGAGGTTCTTGGGACTGTAGTCTTATACATACTGAATTTCTGAGCGCTGATTGAACTACAACTACCAGAGAGCTGGCGAACCAGAAGGATTCTGAAAGAGTAGATATATTCTACAGCAAAGGACTGGTTCTTTCTCTTGGTGCGGGATTCATAACTGAATACAGGGGGACTGGAGTTATCTTCCAGATACAAATTGTTGGCCTACTGCTGCGGGACTCTGCCAATCGGTTCAGCACAGCGGTGACACCAATCGCCACACCGGGATTGCATCTGCTTCTCTGCATCAGGAATGTCACTATCCAGTCTTCACACAGACATCTCTGCACACTGCACTGACAGGCCATCAGGCTGCAACTCTGCACATCCCTGCAAACAGCCAAAACCTGTGCAAGAAGGAGACCAAAAAAACCACGCTATCGATGGAGTTGGTGAGAGGGCAGATGTCCAATCTTTTTCCTTCATCACTCTAGAGACACTGCACGCAGACACCTTTACACCTCAGTTACCAGGAAGCCTTTGCTTTGAGTAGTAACACTCTATCACTATCTGTTTAACTTCATTGAATTACCAGTATTCACTACTGTTTATGGGCTTCACCATTGCTAGCAGAAGACAGAAGTCTTGCAAGGTCAAGGTAAACGCTGGGGACAAGCATTATCAAGTGGCTCCTGCGCGGGGTAGCAGCACTACACATTTATGACACATTGGCACTTCTACCATCACAGCACACAGCAATGTAACAAAGAAGCCCTAAATAGGCTGTAAAGAGTAAGCCCTGGTTCACACTGATGAGATTTCAGTTGTGAATCAGATCGCACTGAAATGCATGACATCACATAACATCAATGCAGAGCAGCTGCAATCTCGACTTGGAAAGGGTCCTGTGCTTTTTTGGTGCGATGCAGTGTGATTTTGTGGTTCATAGACTTTAATGGAAATGCTTTTAAATTGGTTGTCTGTCCCATTGTTATACTATTGTAGTTGTACTAGCTACATAATTATTTTTAATAATGAGCAATGCATTCTGGGTTGTGTGTCTGTCCTTATTATGATACATTTTTCTGTATATACAGTATTTTAAAATGAAATTGTATAATAGTTTTTATGATATGCCTAGTGTAGCACCACTTCCTTTTTAAATTAATGCCCACGCCTAATTAACCACTAGCCTACAGGGCACTTTCACCACCTTCCTGCTCAGGCCAATATCCAGCTTTCAGCGCTGTCACACTTTGAATGGAAATTGCGCGGTCATGCAACACTGTACCCATATGAAAATTTTTATCATTTTTTTGAGACAGATAGAGCTTTCTTTTGGTGGTATTTAATCACCTCTGGGATTTTTATTTTTTCTTAAACAAACCGAAAAACCACTAAAAATTTGGGAAAAAAAAGGTTTTTCTTAGTTTTTGCTATACAATTTTGTAAATAAGTGATTTTTCTTCTTCACTGATGTGCGCTAATGAGGCTGCAGTGATGGGCACTGATAGGCTGCACTGATGGACACTGATAGGTGGCACTGATGGGCACTGATGAGAAGGCACTGGTATGTTGCACTGATGGGCATTGACAGGCATCACTGATGGGCACTGAAAGGCAGCATTGATACATGACACTGATATATGGCACTGATAGGTGGCACTGATAGGCAGCACTGACTGGCACTGATAGACGGCACTGACTGGCACTGTTAGGCGGCACTGACTGGCACTGTTAGGCGGCACTGACTGGCACTGATAGGCGGCACTGACTGGTACTGATAGGCGGCCATGATAGGTGACACTGATTGGCAGCATTGATAGGTGGCACTGATTGGCATTGATAGGTGGCACTGACTGGCACTGATGGGTGACATTGAAAGGCAGCTCAGATGGGCACTGATATGTGGCATTGATATGCACTGATATTTGGCATTGATGTGGCACTGATGGGCACTGGCACGTGGCACTGATGAGCACTGACTGCTGGCACTGATGGACACTGACAGGTGGCACTTTTGGGGCCACACTGATCATCAGGGCACACTGATCATCAGTGCCCTGATGATCAGTGTGCATGTCCCCTCCGCGGAAAGCCGATTATCGGCTCTCCTCTCCTCTCGAGCTGTCAGCGTCACAGCGTGACAGCTCGAGAGGAGAGAAATGCCGATAACCGGCATTTCCGTGTTTACATGTGATCAGCTGTGATTGGACACAGCTGATCACATGACCGAGCTGACATCTTCGGCTCTTTTCGTGATCCGCTGTGTCCGAGGGACACAGCGCACCGGCGATCGCCGTGCTGCGCGCTCCCTGAGCCGCGCATGTGTGGTGAGAATGAAAGGACGTCATATGACGTCCTATCAAAACGAGAGAACTACCTTGCACCCGTCATTGAACTATATGGCGGGCGGAAGGTGGTTAAAGTACATTTTCTGTCTACAATGGCTTCCTGGATCCATAGCAAGAAATTATTTTGAAATGTTGGCAACTATTATAGTGCTTCTGCTTTGAAATTTAATTTATTCACAATGATTATATACACAGAAATGAATGGGTGCTTGTTTTCAAGTGATTTTACTGATTGTTCAGAATATGTAAATATATTAGTATGCATGATCTGGGTACAGATTTCCTTTACTACAAACACAAATATATAAACACTTCACTACAAATGCCATTTTGCAGAATTCCACTCCAAATCCTCTTCTGACTTACGTGTTTGGGTAATTGAAGCTATATCTGACACCTTTTCCCAAGCTGAACATTTCAAAAAGGTTTGTCAACAAAAAACGTATTGGATATTCACTCTCGATACATTTACCACCAGAGGCTTAAACGAGGAGATCGAGATACTTACTATTATCTGACCTCTGTATTTGCCAGTCAAAACCCTTCTTTTTGAAGGTACAAGTATGTCACCGTATTATGGGTAGCACTAGTGTTTATATATAAGAAGGATAGATTTACCTCATTTGAGTTTTGGTGTGAAGGATCCTCTATGTTATCATAAATAATTTGAATATTTTCTGTTTGATCTCATATGCTAATTTATCTCTAAATTTACCTTCCTGATAGTCCAGTTATTAACCATTTCCCCGTATACAGGTGAAACTCGAAAAACTTAAATATTGTGCAAAAGTTCATTTACTTCAGTAATGCAACTTAATGGGTGAAACTAATATATGAGATAGACTCATTACATGCAAAGCAAGATAGTTCAAGCCGTGATTTGTCATAATTGTGATGATTATGGCTTACAGCTCATGAAAACCCCAAATCCACAATCTCAGAACATTAGAATATTACATGCAATCAATAAAACAAGGATTGTACATAGAACAATATCGGACCTTTGAAAAGTATAAGCATGCATATGTACTCAGTACTTGGTTTGGGCCCCTTTTGCAGCAATTACTGCCTCAATGCGGCATGGCATGGAAGCTATCAGCCTGTGGCACTGCTGAGGTGTTATGGAAGACCAGAATGCTTCAATGGCGGCCTTCAGCTCTTCTGCATTGTTCGGTCTCATGTCTCTCATTTTTCTCTTGGCAATGCCCTATAGATTATCTGTGGGGTTCAGGTCAGGCGAGTTTGCTGGCCAATCAAGCACAGTAATCCCACGGTCATTGAACCAGGTTTTGGTGCTTTTGGCAGTGTGGGCAGGTGCCAAGTCCTGCTGGAAAATGAAGTCAGTATCCGCATAAAGCTTGTCTGCGGAAGGAAACATGAAGTGCTCCAAAATCTCCAGGTAGACGGCTGCGTTGACCCTGGACTTAATGAAACAAAGTGGACCAACACCAGCAGATGACATGGCTCCCCAAATCAACACAGACTGTGAAAACGTCACACTGGACTTCAAGCATCTTGCAGTGTGTGCCTCTCCATTCTTCCTCCATACTCTGGGTCCTTGGTTTCCAAATGAGATGCAAAAGTTGCTCTCATCAGGAAAGAGGACTTTGGACCACTGAGCAACAGACCAGGTCTGTTTTTCTTTAGCCCAGGTAAGATGCTTCTGATGTTGTTTGTTGTTCAGGAGCGGCTTGACAAGAGGAATATGACATTTTCATTTTTATGACATGTCCAGGATCCGTCTGTGTGTAGTGGCTCTTGATGCACTGACTCCAGCCTCAGTCCACTCTTTGTGAAATTCACCAACACTTTTGAATATCCTTTTCCTGACAATCCTCACCAGGCTGCAGTCATCCCTGCTGCTTGTGCACCTTTTTCTTCCACACTTTTCCCTTCCACATAACTTTCTATTAATGTGCTTTGATACAGCACTTTGGGAACATCCAACTTCCTTTTCCTTCCTTTTTTGGGGCAAGTCTGGTGCCAGCAGCCGCGGTAATTCCAGCTCCAGCTTTGGTGGAGGAGGTTGTGTGCTGGGGAGCTCCTGGACTACCGTGCAGGCCCTTGGAGCCTGGGCCTAAAGTGACCTGCTCAGCCCAGGCAGGATGGAGGATCCTGGGCTTGGGTGCAGCCATGGGAGACCCCCGGAGGGGCCTAGTACCGGTCCGGAGGAGCCTGCTGTGGAGGACCTGGGAATGGCCCCAGGGAAGGGGGAAGCTTATGGTACTTACAGGGAGAGGATGGCTGCCCGAGTGCGGGCAGTTGAGAAGGAGGAGGTGGTGTTGGCCCGAATGAACATGGAGCTGCGGAGGTTGAGGGCTTCTCGAGACCGTGCTGGTGGTTCCCGGCGGCAGTCTTTGAGGATTGAGGTGGAAGCCATGGTTCAGAAGTTGGCCCTCCAGGGTAGGCATGTGGCGGCCCTGAAAAAGAAGAGTGGGATGCTGAGTGAAAAGTATTCTAATGAGGCCCGTTTCCGTGCAGCAAGATGCAGGAGTGTGGAGCAAGCAAGGGGTCCGGTGGATGTTAGCTCTTCCTTGGAGGACTTCCCGGAGGCGCTGGTGGAGAGGAGAGGTGAGCAGGCTGATCTGCTATCCAAGATGGCGCCGGCTGTTATAGGAAATGCCACTCAGGCATGCAGCCAGGATTCCCTCCCCCCAGGTCAGCAGTCGGCTGATTGGGGGACTCGGGTGGAGCAGGAGGAGTCGGTGGGAGTACTGCAGTTCCGGGCGGAAGTGGGGGCGGAGTTACGGCCGGACCACTTCCGGTTTGCGGCGGAAGTCTCAGAGGAAGAGGATGCTGCTATGGACGTTGTCCCTCGCGGGCCGGTAAAGCCGGTATTGCGCGGGAAAAATCGGCCTTTGTGATGCTTAGGAGGATCCCTGAGGACATGTTGGGAAGGACTGAGGTGGCGTCTGCTAAGGCAGCCGTTCAGGACTCTGCTGCATCCTGCAGCAATGACGTTGGTGGTGGTGAGAAGGGGCAAGTTTCCTTGGGGTCACAGGTGTCTGTGGGTATGGAAGGTGGAGGAGTAGGGGATACTGAGGTTTGCCATGCTGAGCCCCAGCCGCAGTTGGCCTTGGTGGGGGTGGGAGGGGCCTCTCAAGGGGAGCCATTGTCTGTGCCTGATTCCCAGGGTGGTGTTGGGGGGGGTTCTGATGTGGGTCGCCAGGGGCAGACCTTGGTGGGTGTTCCAGGGGCTGTGGCTCCGGTTGCTGTGCAGCCTGGGGAGCTGCCTGGGGATGGTGGTCTGGGGGTGAGTTCTTCTGCCGCTAGGTCTGCTTTGAGTTATTCTGCGGTGGTGAGGGGGAGACAGGAGCAGGCTAGGCCGGTGCTGAGGGCCAGGGCGGGAAACTTACCTACCTATGCTACCCGGAGGAATGTGGTCCAATTGAAGTGGACTGGGGTGGGCCCCCCGTTGGGTCGTAAGGAGGTCATTGACCGTGTCTTGGATATGGGTTTCAGGGCGGCTGATATTTTTCGCCTTTATTGCTCCGGTGGGAACCGGGGAGTACGACCTCTCTTTCATGAGGCCTGATTTGTTGGATTTGTTCTGGCAAAAGTATGAGTCGACCTATGTGCACACTGTTGCTTGGGAGGGTTTGTCTACTAAATTACTGTCAAGGCAAAGTGTGGTCAAGAAGATCACTGTCCTGGTTAGGAATGAGTCTATTCCTCCCTCAGATATTGTGGTATGGTTAGGGAGGTACTGTGATGTGCTGGGTTCCCTGTCAAAAGTTGTAGATGAAAGGAGAATATGGACGGGGGGTTGGACGGCTACAGTCAGGCTGAAGGTTGAGGGGAATGTTTTGCAGCACATCCCCTCCTCTGCTTTTTTGGGGAGGGATCGTCTGATTATATTTTACCCGGGGCAGCCGCGGGTGTGCCATAGGTGTGGGGGTAAGGGGCACTTTGCGGCCACCTGCCCGGTCATCAGGTGCTCCTTGTGCCAGGAGGTGGGGCACCTTGCTAGGGATTGCACTGATATTCGGTGCAATCTATGTGGGGTGTTAGGCCACTCCTACAGTGATTGTCCGGAAGCCTTGCGGAATTTGCCTGAGGGGGAGTTGGAAGCGGAGCTGGACCGCATGGATGCGGAGGAGGCGGAATTGGTGGTGGAAAGGGAGGGCGGGGCCAGCTTGGCCCTTCCGGGTGGGAGTGTGCAGAGTGATGAGGTGGAGGCCCAAGTAGTGCAAGCTCCTGTGGTGGAGCCTCAGGTAGTGTTAGCTCCTGTGGTGGTGCCTCAGAGGGAGTCTGTGGGGAAGTCGTTGGCCCCAAGGTTACGGAGGGGGAGGGGGTTGGTGGAAGCTGCTGAAGGGGCGGGGGTGGTGACATCAGTTGCGGAGGTGTCTGTGTTGGCTCCTCCGGCCCCCCTTCCCCTCTAGGCGTAAAAAGGTGGGGGGGAGGAGGGTCTCATTGGAGGGTAGGGAGGTGGTTCAGGGGGGGCAGAGCGGTGCTCTGAGTGAGGGGGAGTGGTCTTTGGTGGGGAGGAAGGGTAGGCCGGGTGTGTCCCCGGCAGTTTCGGTCTCTTCATTGGAGGTGGAGGATGTCCCCTTGAGGAACAAGTTTGGGTCTCTGTCTGGGGGTGGAGGGGGGTCGAGTGACCCAGAGTCCCCGATGGAGGAGGGGTTGGGTGAGTCTCGGAAGGGGGACAGTGGTCCCGCTAAAAAGGTCAAGGGGAAGGTGAGGAAACGCCTTACTCAATTATCTTGATGGCAGTTCCCACTCCGATAAAGCTGGCGACCATTAATGTCGCTAGTTTAAGATCAGTAAGAGCTCGTGAATCGGCCTTATTTTTGCTCAGTAAGATTGGTGCTGATGTTTTGTTTTTTTGCAGGAGACCAGGTTATCTAGCTTGGCTGATGTCCATCTGGCCAAGAGGGAGTGGAGGTGTGGTCCCTCGTATTGGTCTCTTGCGGCCGAGCCTTACAGCGGAGTCGCGG